AAAGACCAAAGATGGAAGAAAGCTGTAGCCATGCAGCAGGCCGGTAAGAGGGAATCTATAAGAGGCAAGTTGGTTGGTGTCGATTAATCAACTTTGGTAGCAACTGAGAGAAATAAAAGACCGTTTGATAATCTCCTTCAATTTAAGCCCACATGAGAACGATTAGCAAAAATACCAGAACTAAGAGGAAGGACTTAATGAATAACAGCTCCCTGCATTTTGGAAGCAATTGGTTTCACCTTTACATTGAAAGATTTCACATGAATGTTTTACTCACCGGCTAAACTATGGTGATGTCTGGCTTTAACTGTGATGGTTGTGCCATTTCCTTCAACTTCCGTTAAAATGGGTAGCTCTACAGACACCTTGCAGATGTATCTCCCCGAATCTCTGCTTGTTAAGTTTGTTAAGATCAGAACGGAACAGACATGCGGCCGCTCATTCTGAGAGACTTCGGGCTCATTAATGACGATCCTTTGCTCTATCATTGTTTGGTTTTTGATCCATTTGACACCCACTCGTTGAGCCTTTACTGTCCAGCAGCAGGAAATTCTTCCAGTCTGTCTTTCTAGGACTGAAATATCAGGACTCTGAGAAACAACAAGAGTATTTGAAGAAACACCTGTAGAGAGGCATGATGGAGCAGTGTTAGATCATACAACACACACCTTGCACCATTTCAGAACCAGATGCAGAAACTGATGCTGCTTTTGGACTCTTTGGTAGAACCTTTACTATGGCACTGATGATGTTTGACTTTCTAATTAGGTTAAAATAGACTAAAAGCTGCAGGTAACGGAAAATATACTACAGTTAGGTTTCATGCATTATTATTATTATTTTTTTTTTTTTTGGCTGGTTGGTTGCTTCCCACTCTCTGTTCTACCCTAGTTTACAAATTAAATATTTAGTTTGTTAAATAAATATTTGGATCCAAACTAAATATTTAGTTTGCAAATTAAATATTTAGTGTATTTATTCAATACATTTGCTAATTAAACTACAAACTTAACTCCAAACTTAGTTTGGAGCAAAATATTTATTTAAAAAAGTAAGATTTTTTTATAAATGAATGAACTACATTGCGTAAAAAATGACTTTGAAAAAAATAAACCCCTTATTTTTCTTTGAAAATACGCTAAATAACCAATATTGCTCCTAATTTTGCTTAACAGCGCCACATACATACCTAGTGTGAATTATGGCGGTAGAAAACATGACGCTTTGGAGCTTTTTTTCTCCTAAACAGGATGACATCAATCTCTATAACGCCTCCCTCAAGTGATTCAGCCCCCCCCCCAGTAATTAACATTTATGCACTATTTTTGCACGCCACGTATCACTTTACTTGGATTTTCACTTTACTTGGATTTTCACTTTACTTGGATTTTGTATGCATAGATATACGTACAGATATATATACAGAAGAGCTATATTTGTATATATTTTATCATTTTTTATTCTTATTTTTTATCTTATTTTTTTAAACTTTATTATATTGTATAGTTGGATGTGTGTATATATTATATAAAACTGTAAGTGGAGCATTTAACAAAAGTAATTTCCCTCTGGGATTATTAAAGTATTTCTGATTCTGATTCTGACTGACTCATATTGAGGTAAGAATGAACTACCGGTAGGTCATTTATTGCATGTTTTTAGTCGAATAACATTAAAGATGGAATTAGCTACAAAGGAGTGGCTCTGGAAAAAGCAGCTCAATGTGTTTGGGTGGCCTAAGCAGTTCACCAGACCTCAACCCACAGAAAAGTTGTGAGGGAGTTGAAAGGCGACGTTGCACAGTGACAGACCAAATATATCACTCCTACAGAAGAGATCTGATGAAGGAATTGGGAGAAATACCACATATAGAAGGCTTTCCTGTCCTCGAGGTCCAATTACCTAGATATTTTACATCCACACTTAAATTAACTCTCTAAATTACCTCCTTAGTGTGCATTCAAGCCATGGGCGTAGGTTTGCATAGGGACCATAGGGACATGTCCCTCCCAAAATTTTGAACAGACCTACTTGTCCCTACCAACAATTAGATGTGAATAACATGTTTATAATTTACAATACAGCTTGGTTGCAGCAGTAGAGGGGATGGAGAATATTGACAGACGAAAAAATGTCTGTTTATATATTTTTTTTACAATGGTATTGGTATAATTCCTGCTCTAAGTGGGTCGCTCTGTGGTCTAAAGACATGTTTTAGAGTCTCCATATACCAGTTAACGATTAATCGATTACTAAATTTGTTGACATTTCAATAATCGATTATTCCAATTAATTGTTTCAGCCCAAGATAAAATACATGATATGGGTTAAATAGAGTAACTATACAATACATTTATTTGGTGTCCCTCGAATCTATTATTTTGCTTTATTTTATGATACAGAGAGAATATTTAAAAGATAAGTGTGGGTTTTACTTCTGCACAATTGTATATCTTCAAAAGAAAAAACAGGATAAATCCAGATATAACAGACATATTTAGACTATATTTTGTTAAATAGGCACAGATTTACCTACTGTCTTAATCGCTGGTAATTTCGAATGCAAACCTTTTCAAAGTGGAAAAAAAAGTCATAATTCCTCATTCATCAGAGCCGATGATGCTTCAAACATTGATAAACAGCATCTAGTGTGTGTAGCGCTTATAACATTTTTACAAATGTAGTAAGAAATGCTGCTTTTCTTTTTAAACAAAATACAACCTGATTTTTACGTCAAGCATGAAAAACAGTAACCTGACTCCGCCAGATGGATTTGTTCCGCATATCCATCTGGAAACCTTCCGTTGAAGTAATTTTGGGAAGGGGTGAAAATACTGGTTAGCTGATTGGCCTATGCTGGTGATAGACGGGCCAAATAAACCAATCAGATCAACGAAGCATATGACGTACTAACAGACAGGCTGCTCTTGCCGAAACCAGTCGGGAGAAGAGCAAAAACATCTTTTCCTCTGAGAAAAGCCTCCAGAGCAGTGTTTTGCTCTTCTTTCAGTGAAGAAATACTCTGTAATTCCGAAAAAACTTGCCCGATAGCCACGCTAACGCTAGCTTCATCGGCTGAAGCCGCCATGTTCTTTAGACTGAACTGTCGCGCTTCTCGTTGAGTCACACCTCAACCCGCCTCAAAGCCAACGCTGATTGGACATTCGTTTGATGAACGGCTCCAAATTTTCTTCAACGGAGAGTCTCCAGACTGATTAGCGAGTGAAACCTTGAAAGCTCGCGAGATCAGGATGGTCTCACGAGGCTATCAAAACAGAGCATGCATAACTTTTGCATAGGACTAATTACATCAGACAAATAGAGTCCCTACTGAAGTTGAAATCAAACCTACGCCCTTGATTCAAGCTCTCCAGAATCTGATGAATGACCTGATGATTACACTCGTGTTGAAGCAGAGACGTATCTAAAGAGTGCAGGACACCTGACCTCGAAGACAGGAAATGAGAAGTCTAAGGTACTGTGTGTGCAAACCTATTAAAAACTCACAGGAAATGTTGACCTATGTCATTTGCAACAAAGGTTATGCTACAAATTACTGAGTTGCCTTTTTGTTTTTGACCAAATAAACCTTTTCCACCATAATTTACAAATAAATCCATTGGAAATTTTACAGTGTGATTTTCTGTATTTCTTTTTCTCATTTTGTCTCACAGTTGAAGTGAATCTATGGTCTAAATTATAAACCTCTGTCATATTTCTAAGTAGGAGAACTTACACAATTAGTGACAGACTAAATACTTTTTTACCAATCTGTGTATAAATTATGTTTAACACATTTTGATCTATTTTTCACAGCAAGTTTCTGATAAAACATTTTATCTATTAGTGTAAGAGAATGTGCAGCAGATGTATGTGTGCTTACCAGCTTCTGCATTGTTAGTTGAGGTCTCTCTGGCTGTAACTGTAATTATTGTCCCATTTCCTTCAATTTCAGTTAAATTTGGGAACTCCACAGAAACCTTGCAGACGTATCTTCCTGAATCTCTGCTTTTGATTTTTGAGAAAGTCAAAACCGAACAGGTATTTGCCTGATCGCTCTGAGAGACTGTAGACTGATTGACGACATTCTCGTATTTTATTAATGTTTGATCTTTCAGCCATTTGACGCCGACTCCTTGAGCTTTTCCCATCCAGCAGCAGGAGATGTTTTCAGTCTCGCCTTCTGGGACAGAAGCATCAGGACTCTGAGTAACAACAAGTACGTCTGAGGGAAACCCTGTAGAGAGAGATGATGGAGCAGTGATACATCATTAATCTTTTCCAAAATAATTTAACTTATAAAAACAATCTTTAAAGTGATTCCTGTGTATAAGTCAGGTGAGGGTAAGCAGCTTTCCCTCGCAATATCTACTATTATTGTATATTCACTTGATTTCCGAATAACTCGAGTTAGTTACACCGGGGTGTAACTAATTCGAGTTATTTGAGTTAGTTACCTTGTAGGGGTGTAAATTGGAATGGCTTTGGTGATAAGATATAGCCTGGGTGCCATTCCGAACTTAGTCCCGCCCACAACGTTTGAGGTCGGGAAGTTTGGTCTGGCATTGCTCAGTAGTAGCGCGAGTATGATCGCACAATATCTGGCGGGCCAATCAAATTGTCAGGGCGGGCTTTATACGATGATGGACAGATGATCAACAGTAACGTAATCAACCACGTCACCAAAGCGCGCTTGGGTGACAACAACAATGGCTGCCGCTGGAGAGTTAAGGGGTGCAGATTCTGCTATTAGGTCTGTTCTAGAAGATATCAACAGCAAATTAATTTTAAAAGAGGAACAGAGAAACGCGATCAAGGCTCATCTTCTTATTCTATTCTGCACGCTTTGATTTTTGTTGACAACAATTATGCCTCGCTTAACACACGTTGCTCTTATTGGTTGTAGGTCTATCCAATTGAGTGCAGAGGCATTTTTTTTCATGGTTTGTTCAAAACACGCCCTATAATCACAGCTCTATGGAGCAGTATCAGACTCATATTCTGACTAGAATTGAGTAGGACTACGTCAGGCTAGATAAGATATGAATCACAATTGAACTGTCATGAGACAATGTAATCCGATATATCCTGATACATTAACATCGGCAACAAAACTTGATATTTAGCTTTATATAGCTCTGTAAAACCTCACAATATCTTGCCGTTAACTGTGGCTGGTGCAGGAGATAAATAATAGGCTCTTGGGTGGTGTGCTGCCAACTAGTGGCTGGAGGTTAATGAGTTTTACAGAAGTAAGACAATAACATGGATGTTTTAATATAGATATTTTCACATTTAAGATCCATTCAGAATCATTGAAATCCATGCCAATATTGTCTAAAGAAATCTTGCAAAATTTGACAGAATATTTTTTTTTTTTCCTGCTTTGCTAATATAGCCCAAGGAATCAAAGTCGCAGCAATAACCCAACAGATTTACCTTCACAAGCAGACCGTTATGATTGTTGCCATAAGGTCTTGCTTGTTACTTGTTTAAGAACCTTTATTGAAATAGATTTAGGGAGTAAAATTGTATATGACGGACATGGAGATGGAAAGAGAGTGAGAAAGAAAGAGGGGATAAGAACTAATGGGAGAAAAAAAATTAAAAGAGACAGGAAAGAGTGCATTAAAAGAGAAAATAATACAACACAGCAAAAAATGGACAACACTGAAGATATATTGTAACTCCTAGAAGTCTGCTTCTATACCTGTACTGTATAAGACGAGAGGTATAGAACACAGAGAGCATAAAAACAGCAAAAAGAAGACAACAGACAACCAAAGAAATGGAAAGTAATTTCCCCCTGGGATTATTAAAGTATGTCTGATTCTGATAAAAACGCTTCCAGAGCAGCGGACATTCCTAAGATATCTATATGTGTAGAAGGCAAAACCTGTTGTGATTAAACAATATTATCCAGGGTGGTATATATCTGCAGCTGCAACTTAATATTTTATATTAATGTGTATCTTTGAATACCTGGAACCAAACTCCCATGGTATGAATGCATGTGCATGCTTGTTAATAAAGGATTTACAAAGCTTCTTCAGAGGGAAACTATGCTCAATAGCAGGTGTGGGCGGCCCCAGACTCCCTCTACAGGGTCCATGACCAATAAAGAGGCAACACAAGTCCCAGATATTCCACCTCAGATGACTGATACACAAGGAGGGCAAACATAGGGATGGCCGCACCCATCAGAGAAGGGAGGATGAGAGCACCCGGGGCCCGACCCTAGAGGAGGCAAACCCCAAAGGAGCCCAGTCCCTGACGGGCCATAGTGGCAATGGGCTCAGTCGGGGACCGGTCACACCCAAGGTGGACCCGGATGATAGCACAAGTTCCAAAGGTCCGAGGCCCTGGGGCGCACCACCCTCTAGTGGGGACCCCAAAGGGCCAGGAGGGTCAGTGCTGGCCCTGCAGCCACCAGAAAAGAGATGGTGCAAACTGGAGCGTGCCAAGAGAACCAGGCACCTCTCATCTGCGGGGAGAATAAGAAATGGAAGGAGACACTCCCTGCTCATACTTGGGGCTCAGGATGTTCCAGTAGGTGGGAGGGTAGGCAAACACTCATGCCTCCACCCAACACATGGGGAGATCTAACACACCCCTGCATTCCCCTCCCTTACTGACAGTGTGTCCCCTCTAGGGGAGCCCCTGGAGGATGATGTATACATTATGTTTACCATCAGTTCAATGGCCCAGTGCCACCAGGGATGGACCCTCAACATGGCCAGACTCTACAACAGCCACCAGTCCACAAAGCAGGTGGCACATCCAGGGCCAAGACCAACCAATAATTAGTTTTTCATTTACTTCCAGTGGGCAGAGTAGCAGAAAAGGTTATTTCAGTAAAGTTGAAACACTTTACAAATATTACAAATAGTAGACGTAAAAGTACATAGTACAATAAAAGTACTCCTAAAAATACAAATTTACAGTTTTACTTAAATGCCAAAGACTGTTTTTACAGATGTTTCTTTAGATGCATTTGTCACTTAAACTGCACAGGACAGAATTAAATACATGATGCATTATGTAGAAAGCTATTTTCAATTGTTTAAATGTAATTTGCTGTGTTAAACACAATATACATCTGACAACACTGTAAAACACGGTTTAATCATGAACCCAACGCAGTTAGCCTGCAATATGTTAACAGCACATGTACTCACCTTTTTCTGTACTTGTAGTTGCGATCTCTCTGGCTGTTACGGTGATAGTTGTACCATTTCCCTTAATTTCAGTTAAAACAGGAACCTCTACAGAAACCCTGCAGACGTATCTTCCTGAATCTCTGCTTGTGATTTTAGCTAAAGTCAGGACTGAACAGGTATGAGCCGACTCATTCTGAGAGACTCTAAACTGAGTTATGACGGTCTCATCTTTTATTAAGGTTTGGTTTTTCAGCCATTTGACGCCGACTCTTTGAGCCGTCCCAGTCCAGCAGCAGGAGATTCTTCCAGTCTCTCCTTCTACGACAGAAACGTCAGGGCTCTGAGTTACAGCAAGTATTTCTGAGAACAAGCCTGTAGAGAGACATGAAGGAACAGTGTGCGGTCATTTAGTAAAAACACAGAAAATCGATGCTGGTTTTAGACTCTTCAGAAAATCATCTATTTTCAGAAGCACCGACTGTTTTTAACTTCATTTGCAGAATATATACAGAATACAAGATCAAAATTTGCATTCATTTCTGGGGTTTACTGACACCGGAAGTAAAAAGTGCACTTTTAGAAACATCTGAAGAAAGAGACACAACATATACGATGGAATCACATGCATAATGCTTCTTGTAGAAACCTATATTAAGATGAATGACCTTTAATACAAAGTTAAAATGTGTCAAACCAAAAAACAAATATATATTATATATCAATAACTGTCTATATGCAGTTAGGCTGCAAAATGTGCATCAGGTGAGACTTTTTTTACCTGCTATGGTGTCTTTATCTGGCGTCTCTCTGGCTGTAACTGTGATGGTTGTACCATTTCCTTCACCTTTAGCTAAAACTGGTATCTCCACAGAAACCTTGCAGATGTATCGCCCCGAATCTCTGTATGTGATCCTTGCAAAGATCAGAACTGAACAGGTATTTCCCTGCTCATTCTGAGAGCTGATAGACTGATTAATGAATTTCTGATTTTTGATCAAAGTTTGGCTTTTCAGCCATTTGACGTCAACTCTTTCAGGAGTGCCTTTCCAGCAGCAGGAGATGCTTCCGGTTTCGCCTTCTTGGACAGAAACATCAGGAGTCTGAGTAACAACAAGTGAGTCTGAAGAAAGACCTGGAAAGAGAAATGAGGTTTTTAATAACATTTAGATATTTTTTATTAACTTGGAACATCATACTTTGTCACAAGGTTCCTGATTTTTGCTTATTAGATAACATTCACAGTTTAAGATCAAATATAAAACAAAAATATGAGGAATTAGGCTTAGAGAATCAAATAATCAAACAAATATACTGAAATGTATTTATCAAAGTCATTGGAAGACAATACAGTCAAAACTAAAAAGCATGTCTGGTAGTTTAAACGGACAAAGAAATCAATTAATAAAAAAAAATGCTGTTATATTTTTTGTTTGCTGTTATTAAATGTTATCTTATCACAATGCATACGAATCTAAATATGCCTTTTTTAATCTTTTCATGTGGTACCTTTTGCATGAATAATTAGTCCAGTATCTTTGTTGTACCTTTTGCTGCACACATCAACAAAGTGTGACATCATTTATATACAATACCACTAAAGTGTGACATAAATTATGACAAAATGTCAGATTTCTGATAGATCTTATGTTTAGGATGGTTATTTTCTTTAAAGAAAGAGTGGAACAACTATTTTCAGTTTCACCTGAAATTGTTTTTGTTTTCTATAAATGTATAAATTATACACTGCAAAAACAATATATATAAATAAGTAAAATATTCTTAAATTAAGTGTATTTACCATTAATTTAAGTAGGTAAATAAGATGATTTGCCAATGGAATTAATGTTTTTACTCTTAAAATAAGATAATTAGATAAATTGCACTTGAAATAATTTAAATAATAATTGTTTTTTTTTATTTTAAATGTAATTGTAATGTAATGTAATTGTCTTGTTCCATTGGCAAAGAGTCTCACTTACCTCCTCAGTTCAAGACAAGATGCACTTCAATTTTTTTGCAGTGTATATT